GGTGGTCTTAAGCTGATAAGGCGTGACGGGAACTGCAGGTATTTGGCAGGCCGGGCTGACAGCTCTTTCGCCCAGCCTCCTCTCCCTCGGCATCTTTCTCTCGCTGCCCCTTATTTATTTATTTATTTATTTATTTATTTATTATTTAAAACTTTTATGCCTCGTCCACCATCTGGACAGCTCAGGACGACTTGCAATATTTTTATTTTTATTTTATTTATTGAAAGATTTATATGCCGTCCTTTGCCGCAGCCTCAGGATGGTTTATAGAAATATTAGTATAAATAACAATATAATAATACACATCTCAATAAAACAATAAGCAATGCATAGTACTATGAATAATGAAAATAAATCGAATCAAAAACTCAAAAGTGACTGTAAAAGCCATTAAAATACTAGTTTTTAAAATACTGTTTAAATAAAAAGGTTTTAGCCTGCCGCCAAGAAGAATGTAAACTCTGCACCAGGCAAACTGCTCTGGGGAGCCCAATAAAGAGCAATGAAAGCGCAAAACTGCAAAGCATCCAGCGACCAAGAGGCAAGCAGGCCTTCCGAGGGGCTTGCTGCCCCCCCCCGTCGCACGCGGCCTGCTCCTTTGAGCGGGTGAGGGCGGACCCCCGCCCGGGATCTCCTGTGCGCAGAGGCAGCACACTGCCCCGAGCGCGTCCCTTCCACCGCTCGGATTTTGGCTCGTGTCCTTCCCTTTTCTCGGGTCTGGGTTGCCCGCCGCCGGCCATCGCGTGGGTGCCCAGGGGGGTGCCCATTGGTGTCCGGCTCACGTGCAAGAAGGAACGCATCCTGCCAGCCTCTTGTGCAAGCGCACCGTGTGCGACTGCGAGAGCCACTGCCCTGCTGCCACCCGTGGAGAAGCTGTGCCTGCGCATCCCGTGCGGGCAGGTGGCCCCGGCTTCTGCCCCGGCCGCTCCAGCAAAGAGGCCAGGCGCCCGGGGGCGTTTGGGGGCAGGCACGGTGACACTTGCCCTCGTGTGGGACGGAAGCCAAGCCGTCATGATGTAGTGGTGGGGGGAGCGCCGCCCTGGGAAACGCCAAATGGTTGTCCCCCTTGGTGGGGCGAGGCAGGTGGGACCGCCGTCTGGGGGCCCAGCTGGAGGATTTGGCCCTGGGGCGAGAGTCCGCCCAAAGACAGAGTAAATGCTTTGCAGACACGGCCAAGCGGGACGCCTTCAGAGTGTTGGACTGCAGAGAGGGCCGGAGCAGTCCTCTTTGCCTTCAGGGCCACTTCGGGAGAAGAATCGCCTTCTGTCTTTCGGCGCGGCCTTCGTGTGGGATTGATCGGTGCTGCTCTGCCCCCAGTGGGGTGTGCAGACACACGCCTGCAAAATGGGACCTGCTGTCCGCCTCCAGGCCCCCTTTCACACGTGCGCACACGCACTCTTCCAGGGCAGCCGTAATATCTGGGGCGTAGTGCAACGCGAAGCGCCGTGGAGCTGCTCTGGAGGCTCAGATTCGCGGATTGTGATCTCAGCTCATCCGGATTCTCAGAGTGACTCGTTTCGTGCAAGGAAACTGAGTGACAGAAGGACAGACCCAACTTCCAGGCCTGTTCCGAAACCTTGGAAGGGGTTTTGTCTGTCTGCTCCGATTCTTTGCATACTCATAATTTGGTTCTGAGCGACACAGGTAGCATCCGGATCAACTCGGCTATCGATGCTTTAGAAGTGGCCAAGTTTCCATCTCTGATTTTATTTATTTATTATGCATTGATTAGTTTTATATCCCACCTTTTTCTTTTAAAAAAAGCAAGGCGGCTCATACCGTTCTCTTCCTGCTGTCAATCCTATCCCCACAACAACGACCCTGTGAGTTAGGCTGGCCCGGCCCAAAGTCACCCTGTGAGTTCCAGGGATGAGCAGGAACTAGAACCCAGATCACCTGAGTCCCAGGTCCGTGCTCTTAACCACTACTCCACACTGCCAAGATTTGCTCCTCTTCCACTCCCAGGTACCTTCTCCTGCCTTTTTCTGACTCGGGAAAGTATCTCCCCAGCAAGAATTGGATGCGCCAGCTTTGCCAAACTTCCCAGTGGCCGCTTCTGCATTTCCCCAATTTCCAGGCATCTGGCAGCATATGATGAAGCTTTTCAAATGTTACTTTTTAAAAAAATCAGCTCCTGGAAGTATTGTTGATTGTTCTGAACTGTTTCAGACTTCTCTAGATTTTGTAGGTTAAAGGTTTTGGATTATGTTTGATTGTATTGTGAACCGGCCAGAGACCTTTGGCTGTGGGGGGCATAGAAGTTCAATGGGAGTGCAATAAGATGGGGGGGGGAATCCCACAATTCCCAGCATTCCCCAAACCAACATAGGGAATAAGGAAGCTCAATAAACCTGGGGAATGCTGGGAATCCCAGAATGCTTTCTGTCTCAGTGTGCACAGGCTCCTAGAATTCACATTGAGCTGGTGATGAGTTTCGGGTTTTTTCCACTCTTTTAAAAAGGAGTGGTAAGCGCCAAATCAGGAAGTCTCCAGACCGGCTCTTCCCTCCAGTGTGAACTCCTGAGGTAGCCCCTGGCAGGCCATCTGCTCGTCATCGCTGTGTCCCCACTGCAATATGGAGGTTGTTCATAAAGCCCTCAGCTCAGCCGTGCCTTGTGAAGCACTTTGACTGTTGAAAGTGGTATACAAATGTGAAGCATCATTAACCACAGCTGTGCACTGCTGTACTTCGAATTAGCAAATTGGGAATCACCTCAGCTACTTCCTTCCTTTATTCTGTCTGGCTTGTGAGCTTGCCACATGCTGGGCATGACTGAATCCAGCTAGGATCTTGTTAGAATTAGCTCCAAGAATTGCACCTAGCAAGCAAACGCATGCACTTTCGTGTTTTTCCTTCTTTCTTCTTCTCTGCTAGTCCTCAGCTCCACTCTCATGCAGGGCTGCCCAGGAGTACAAAATGTTCCGCTCCTGTGTTTCCTTCCCACAAACACGCACAGAAAAGGATTCCCGTTTTCAGAAATTCACTGTTTCTTCAAATGCCCCCAGGGCAGGGCAGCAAAGTGCAGCTCCCTTTCCGGATCCGGCAGCAATGCCCCAGATGGCCAGAAAACAGGAATCTGGGGGAGGGAAGCTGCTGGCCTCGTATTTTGCTTAGTGCCAAGGGGAAGAACTTGGCCTCGTAGGCCGTTCTGTGTATGAAGGGAATCTGCTCTTCCTAGAAGGAAGCCTTCAAAGTCCAGGGCTGCATTTGCACACTCAGGAAGCAGCTGGCACAATTCTTTCCATGGCAGCTGCAGGGAGGGGGCCCCCAAAAAGGGAGTCCCCCTCCCCAGATGCTAGCAGTATCCGTGGCCTCAGCACGGGTCTCTGGACCATCCTGTCTTCGCTGGGACACTCTCCTGGGGACCATTGGATTGTTTTCTAAGGAAGCCGTGCCCAGGATTCTGGGCAAGGATCCGTACGTAAACCCTTCTCAGTGCCTTCATTTTTTCCTTCCTTAAAGTTTAAATCATTTCTGGGGCTGTCTGACTGTCAGATGTCTCGCGTATTCCAGCAAAACTATTTTTTTTTATTTTATTGTGATTTATATCCTGCCTTTTTCCTACAAAGGGCTCAAGGCAGCTTACATCATTCTCCTCCTCCAACTAAATTTCAGAGGAAGTTTTGGATGCATTTCAATATAATGTGTAAGCCCACCGATTCGTACAGAGGCAAAGGGCTGTGATCCGTGTACAGATTCAGAGCACAGACTGCAAGGTCCTTCAGTACTGCTGAGATGCGTGGCCCCCCTGCTTGGAAAGGGCTTGTGCTGGGGGCGGGCGGTCTCCCCTTTGGAACCAGCTCCTGTTTGGGCTGGCCAGACTGGGGAAGGCTTTGCAGACCTGCTTGGAGACGGGGAAGGAGTTCATTCCGGCAACCGCTTTGCACACGTGTAAGACTTCCTGTGTGCTGTCAGGAAAGATGCCTGCCATAGGAAAACCAGAGATGCAGGTTGCTCTGTAAAGGACCAGTGGTCAAGCACTTGCCAGAAAGCTACTAGGGATAAAGGTGCCCTTATTCACCTCCATGGCGATGCTCAAGGGCGAAGAGATTTTAAAAAGTTGCAGTTGGCTGTGACAAATTCCAGAGGGCTGCACGAAGCAAAAATAAGATTCTCCCGGCACTGGTCAAGGCACGCAGGCTTCCCGTGCCATTGGCTCGCTCTCCTCGCGTGGCATCTGATAAAACGTGCTTTCACTTGCAAAAAGCAATGACTCGAAAGCCCTTATCTCCAAGACTCTTCAGCAGCATTTGCTCAGGGTTCTTCCCCTCCGTTGCTTCCCCTCCCTTTCCTTTGAATCGTTGGCCTTGGTCTCTGTATTAAGTGCGCTAGATAAAGTTTGCGAGATTCACCTCCAAAAGGCTTTTGTTAAGCTACCACTTGCAGGGCAACTCTGAAATCTGTGGGGACCTCTTGCTTTTGGGAGCTCTTGTGCTGCGAAGTGACATCCCCTCGATGCTCCTAAGACACAACCTGGTGTCATCTTAGGAGTACAGTCCCAGAGGTTATGCCAGTTCCGTCCTGCGTCCTGCATGCATTTGGCTTTTAAAGCCGTCCAGGTCAGCGGCTCGCATTACCTTTTGTGGCAGCGAATTCCGTCAGCTCAACCACGCACGGAGCGAAGGACTCGGTTTTGTCTGCCCGGCCGTTCAGCTGCTTTGGTTGATGCCTCCGGGGTCTCCACATGTTCGAAAGCCACGAACGCATCTAGGCCTGTTTCATGTGAGCTGCTGGACTGGTCTGACTGTTAAGACATGCGCATCTCTGGCCAAGGGTGCCCTCTGGCACCAGAGGTTTCGTTTCCTGGCAGGGTTGCACGAGTTTTGAGCCCTTGAACGTTTTGAGCCCTTGAATTTTCTGCAGAGGGGAGGACGGGTGGAAACCTCCTTGGGTGCTTTTTCAAAGCACGCACCGGGGAAGAGGGCACAGCCGTGTCGACAGGTGTGGCCAAGCTCGTGTTCCAGTCCATAAAGTGTTTCCTGCTTCTCTCTCTTTCCAGCCATGGTCCCCGTGGGGAGAGATGCTCGGACGTCCCGCTTGCCGCGCCGTGGGTGATGACGAGGAGGGCCTGGCCGCGGCATGTTCTGACCCCGGGGTTCCCGCACAGGCTTGGAGCGGCACTGAGAAACACACGGGGGGGCCCGGAACACGATGAACAAACTGAACTTCCACAATAACAGAGCCATGCAGGACCGACGCAGCGTCTGCATTTTCCTCCCCAACGACGAGTCCCTCAATATCATCATAAATGTGAGTTTGCTGGTGCAATCCATGTGCGGGTGCAATTTGTGCACCTTCCCCACGAGCATGCATGTGCACATGTGTGCACACACCAGGCTTCACACAAACGGGCTTTTTGCATCCAGTCATAAGGACAGGTTAGGGGACCAGTGGCTGGAGAGCAGCACTTGTGAAAGGGACCTCGGGGTGCTGGTTGACTGCAGGCTGAACATGAGCCAGGCGTGTGATGCGGTGGCCAAGAGGGCGAACGCCACCCTTGGTCGCATAGCCAGAAGTGTGGCTTCTAGATCAAGAGAGGTGTTACTGCCACTCTATGCGACTCTGGTGCGCCCGCAACTGGAGTATTGTGCTCAGTTTTGGGCCCCTCATTACAGAAAGGATATAGCCAGGTTGGAGTCAGTGCAGCGAAGGGCCACAAGGTTGGTGGCCGGTTTGCAGGGGAGGCCGTATGAGGCAAGACTGAGGGAACTGGGTCTCTTCAGCCTGCAGGAGAGGAGACTCTGAGGGGATCTGTTGGTGACATCCAGGTACGTGAGGGGGAGTCACACGGAGGTGGGGAGAGACCTGTTCTCCCCTGCAGAGGAAGGCAGGACGCACTCCAAGGGAGCAAAGCTCAGGGATCCCAGGTTCAATTTGGATGCCAGGAAGCCCTTCCTGACAGTCAGGACCCCAAGGGTGTGGAATAGGCTTCCATGAGAGGTTGTTGAGGCCCCATTGGTGCGGGTGTTCAAGGACAGGCTGGACATGCACGTGGTGGGCATGTTGTGAGCGGAGCCAGCTGGAGCCAGGGGTCAGACTAGATGGCCCAGGAGACCCCTTCTGACTTGCTCAGTCTCTATGTTTCTATGTCCTCCGTTTTTCTTTCCCAAAAGCTTGATAAACTGACTTTCCTTAAGCATTGCCTTGATTTTTTCAGGGGAAATCTGTCCTCGAAAATCAGGGCATTATGGGAATTGCCTCCCTTTGCAGTCAGTTCGCCTTGCCCGAGCTCTCAAAATGCATTCAAGCTCGTTTCATGCAGCTTGAAGGACTAGAAATGGGCTTTATGGATTGGGAAACATGCTTTGAACACACACACATTTTTATACTGACAATTTTGTGTTTATATGGAAAATGCAGGGCTGCCCTGGACGTTGCAAAAACTGGTCCATGTTTCTTTTTGACAGCTGTCTTTTATTGTAGGGACATAGGAAGGTGCTGTATGCTGCGTCAGCCTCGTGGTCCATCTAGCCCAAGTCTGTCAACACGGACTGGCAGCAGTCAGAGGGGCCGCACTGTTCACTCCTTTCCCTCTTCGCCATTTGCTCACCAAGAAAGTAATATTTTATGTTCAGGGACAGAAAAGCAACTGGGAAGATGAAGCATCCTAAACAGCTTATCTTCTTCCCGGGTGGCTGGGGATGATGGGATTTGTTGTCCCAAGACATCCAAAGGGTGTCTTACAGCTTAGCTTTTGCATTGCTTAGCTTTGCGCACAGACGTTGATGGGTTGCTTATGCCTCACTTTTCTCCTGCTATTAAATCTGGCTTGGTGCCTTCATGAGAAGGCAAGGGACTCTTGCAGCCTCAAGAGAGCCATGCTGGGAATCAGAATCGGTCATGGCGGATTTACATATTTTATTTTCACGCCCTTATCATAATTGCAACAAAACTGTAAATGTCAGGATTTCACAGCAGTGAGCAAGTGCATCGTTCCCCTCCGCCCCGCCATTCAGGATTGCTTGGTTTTTACAGTTTCAAACTCCTAAGTCAAGCCTTTAAAATTGCAAAAGATTATGGCCCCGAGGCCTCTGGAGCATGACAGAACTTTGCTTGCCTGCCCATGTCCGGCCGAAAATGAGAATCTAGATATTCTTGCCTGGAGTACTTTTCTGACGTTGGTGCAGGGACCAACGCTTCAATCTGTGTGCAAAGCCGACACTTCCCTGAATCCTGGTTTAAAATAACGGACGAGTCGCTTGAGCTGCTTGGTTCCCTCCTCTCCTCTCTGGGGCAAAGCTGGAATCCTTGCCGCAGTATCAGAGCTCCCTGCAGGGCTGATCTTTTGACCAGGGAGAGCAGTGCCATGTCCCGGTCATGGTTGCGCAATACACACACACACACATGCCAGACACACATTTGCAGGTGTGTCTCATTTTAAACTGCTCCAGGCTTCACAAGAGCTGACCCTCAGTGCAGGCACTGCCCTTGGGTGCAAAAATGTAGAATTCAGGGAGGTTCCTTCTTTTCTTAAAAAAAATGTTTCTAGTCCTCATGAAGGCAAAGGTGGGGAAGATCTGGGCAATGGTGGTTGCCTTTCAGAACTGAAGACAATGAGGAGGGGGTGCTCTTGAGCGGGTTTGTGTTTGGGACATCAGTGCCCTGTGCAGCCCCACGGGGTTCCTCGAGAGCAGTGGAAATGATCTAAAAATACGTATATGCTTAAATAAAACAACAGGAGCTTCATGTGATCTTTGCTCCTCTTAAAATAATCACAAATACTCTGTTTTCCTCTTCCACCCTCTCCCCCGGTAGGTTAAAATATTGTGTCATGAATTACTGGTCCAGGTATGTGACCTGCTACGGCTGAAGGACTGCCACCTCTTTGGACTCAGCGTCATACAGAGTGAGTCCACGTGGAGAAGCACGGAGTCGTGCATTTGTGTCTCTGTGGTGCCGAGTGACCGGCAGCAGGGTCTGAATCCCGTGGTGGAGGGCCTGGCTGCCGCAGCCTTAGATTTGACGCAACCATGGTTAGCTCAAGCCACAGCTGGGTTGCTGCTAACCATGGTTGACAGTAGTCGGGGCAGAGGGAAGCTCAACCGTGGCTGGCTCTTAAAATGGAAGGGGGGGGGAATGGGCAGCACGGGGGGGGGGACTGGTGCCCATGGGTGGGCACTGGATGACATCGCCCTGCTCTGGACTTCCAGTGCGCAAGCATCAAATCAAGCATTCTGGAAGAGACGGATGGCAGGTGTGTGTTAAAATAACGAAAGGGTTTGTGGCGCCATATTGCAGGGATGAGAAGCCTCAGCCCCGGGGCCAGATCAGCTCTCCCAGGGTCCCAGTCCAGATGCCCTTGCTGTCCCCCCCCCAGCCCCACCGCATTTCCCGTGAGCACAGATGGTTGGCGGTTTGCCCGGGTTCTGTGCTGCTCCCCACATCTTTTAAAAGCTCAAAATGCCTCCTACGGCTTCATGATGGGCCGGCCGGACACACGCGCAGCCACAGGAACCAAGAGGGTTGTATTTGTGAAGGTTGACTCCATCCCTCCTTCCTTTGCCCCCCACCATCCTTCCTTTGCCCCCCACCTGTCTTTCCTTTGGCCCCACCCACCCTGGCAAGGGAGGTCCCAGGTGTCTCTGAAACTGAACTCGGCCCTCTCTTCTCGTGCTGTGCGCATCAGGCCTCACAGCTTTGGCAGGCAGCGCCGGGCTGGGGCGAAGCCGGAGTGTTCGGAGGCTTCCTCTCACGCTCGGCCTGGGCGAGCCAGGGAGGCCCGCAAACAGGCGTAGGACGGAGACGCTGAGCCCAGCACCCTCTCCCTCCCTCAGGTGCAGCGGCACAAAGAAAGGCCTGCGGTGCTGGGGCAGGAGTGGGTAACGGGGCGCTGTTCCTCGTGCAGAAGAGGGGCCGTGCGAGGCAGGAACGTGGATTCTGGGCGGCAGCAAAGCGGGAATCCGTCGGATTTCCACCACACAGGAGTTGCGCACACATCCCTGAACCCGTGTGTGGTTCTTGTTCGTTTGCCTCTCCCAAGGGAGCTGTGGGACTTTTCCCTGCATCCCTAGAATTGCGCCCTAAATGATAAAATGCAATTTCGAACCACAGTGACGTTGCTTATCCTAACGATGACCTTGTAAAGGGATCCTTTTTTCCAGCAGAAGCCGATAAGCTAGTTTACAGAGAGGGCTTCTGCAGTGTAAACACTGAAAGCATCGGCAACATGGCGCGCTGCGCTTGCTAATCGGAGCGTGTCTGGCCGAGGCGCCTCGCTAATTCTGCCTTTGGATTCCTTTCTGCTGCAGACAATGAGCACGTGTACATGGAGTTGTCCCAGAAGCTGTACAAGTACTGTCCAAAGGAGTGGAAGAAGGAAGCGAGCAAGGTGAGGGAGGCCGTCCAGTCGTGCCTCGGTGGGTCTGGGGGACCGGACCGGATCTCTGCCGGATCTGGCCCGAAGCTGCACTCTCACTTGCGGTGGCTGTAGCCTGGGGGGTCCCCGGCCTGCTGGGACCCCATCAGCCCATCTGGGAATCTGCGGTGGGCACCACCACAAAATGACCCCTGCAAAGGGCGGTCCGGCTCGCTGAAAGTGAGCGAAGGAGGCTGGGGAGAGAAATAGGCGGAGGCTGAGAGGGAGGGGAAAAGACCGGGAATGGGGGCAAACGGAGCAAGGCTAGGGAGGGAGGGAGAGCAATAGGGCAGCCCCAATTCCTCCCATGCCCTTTCTCCGGATTTGTTGCACGGCAACACCCATCATCCTCAGCCTGGGTGTCACGGTCCGACACATCTGGAGGCACCGGCTTGGAGGAGGAGGAGCTGCTGGGCTGCTCGTGGCTCGGGCCCTGGACCCACATGCCCTCGTGGCCCCCTGCAGCGATCACGTGGGGGGGGCAGAGGTCACCTCAGGACGTGCGGTTGGCGTGTTCCGGGAACCGGCTCTTCCAGGGCCCGGCCAGGAACAGCCCCCAGGCTTTGGGGGGCTGTCTCCCTGCCTGGACGCTCTACCCCAAGAGGAGCTGACTGAGGTGATTGGGGGCCCAGGCCCGAGGCAGCTCCTTCCCTCACGACCGGCTTGTCTAACCTCGTGCCCAGGGCCAGGTGTGGCCCCTGGGACCCCCAGCCTGGGCACCCCCTTCCCCCGGCCACCAAGGACTTGGTGGGCTTCCAGCTTTTGCACAGACGTTCCCCGCTGCTCCAGGAGCACGAGATGCTTTTCCGGAGGGTTGGGGGGAAGCTTTGCCCTTAAGGGACGCGGGGGCTCAGCCAGCCCCTCTTGCCGTGGGGCCTGCCCACCACCAGCAGGTGGGCCCCCAAGCACGTCTTTGGAACGAAGCTCGGGTCTTGGGCTGAGGAGCTCTGCACCACTGCGGGGTCCCTCCGAGCAACGAGAGGAGGGGAGCAAGGCCCCCACACACCCCCTGGCGGTGCACGGATCAGGCCCACAGAGGGAGCAGGAGAGGCATCCGCTGGCGACAGAGGTGGGGGGCACGCTCAGGGGAAGGGGGCGTGGCTCCACCCCAGCCCCAAACCAGAGGCAGGATCCGTGCGCGTGCCAAAGGGCGGTCCCGGCTTGCACCCCCTGCCAGGCCTTCCCGCCCCGGTTGCTGCTTGGCCAAAAGCAGCCCAGCCCCATGGCCTCCGTCGGGACTTCCCACAGAAATGACGATCCACACGTTTAGCACAGCGTGAATCGGGCGGGGGGTCCTCCCGGGTGGGGGCAGCTGGTCAGGAGGGCTCAGTGTGCCCCCCCGCCAAGCATGTCCGTGTGCCGATTTCGAGTGCGCGCCAGCGTAGGAGGTGCTGCGTGGGCCTCCGGTCGGGGCATCGCATCGGCCGCTGGGGGCAGGGGTCCCCCCTCGCCATTCCCCCTCCCCAGAGGGGAGGCTGAGCCCTCATCTCTGTGTTTGGCTGCAGGGCTTAGACCAGTTCGGTCCCCCAATGATCATCCACTTCCGGGTGCAGTATTACGTGGAGAACGGCCGCCTGATCAGGTGAGGGCAGAGGAAGGGGCCAGCGCCAGCAGGGCCCCGTCGCCAGACGCCTCGGCACTGAGCGACCGGGAGGGTCGCCTGCACAGCAGAGGGGGCTTCGCTGAGGACGCGGACAGCTGCCCGGGTGGGATGCTGTCAGCTGGGGTCCCGCAAGGGCAGGGGGCTGGACCCGGGGGCCTTCCAGCTCCCCGTTCTACGGACCGGCATGCTCACAGCTGAACCCCTCCAGTTAAATCCAGAGCGCACCGCCAAGGTTTCTCTCTGGGCGAAGCTGCCCTTTCAGTGTTACAAAGATCCTCTCTGCTATTCTCCGATGCTATTTCTATTTAAAATATTTCTAGGCAGCATTTAAAGGCAAAAGGGGCAAGCCACATACAATTCCATCCAGCCAGAAAACAACATTCCAGTAAAAGAACCATGAAAAGGCCAAAGAAAGCAGAGTTACTTACTCATTCCCAATTACGACACCAGGCTGGAAGGAAACCGCACGGTGGTATTTCTGTAGTGCCTTTCCCAGAGCGATAGTAATAATTTGCCCATATGTAGCGCTTTCTGATGTGCAGCATGCTTTACGTGCATTAGCACTGCGACTCTTACAACTGTAACGTGGGCCAGTACCTTTCCCCATATTGTGGAGCCTTGGCAGAGATGAGATCCAAACCCAGAATTCCTGGTCTGCAGGGAATTCCGTCCCAGCGGCCCGGCTGCCCCGGGTCCACCCAAATTGCCACCTGTGTCTTCGAAAGGTCTGCCTTGAGCATGAAACCAGACCAAAGAAAACACGGAAGGTGTGGCTGGATGTGCACGTGGTTTCTGCCCACTATTTCAGGAGAGTAGGGGCTTTTCAGGGACTAAGGCTGGGAGGAACCCTAGCAGAATCCGCCCCTTTAGTACCTGCAGGCGTCTCTCAGTCCAGGCTCGCAAAGCGAGGCGAGAGGCAGTCTGCGCATGCCCATGGGACCCAGCTTGTGCACCCAGCATCTGTCTGCCGGGGGGCGCTTGTGTGGCATGTGGGACGCGATCCAGGCAAACAGGCGCATACTCGCCCGGAGCGCAGACTGCGGGCCACAGAGTGGGCTTTGATGCCGCTGTTCCTCGCCTCTTCCAGCGACCGCACGGCCCTGTACTACTACTACTGGCACCTGAGGAAGCAGGTGCTGCGCTCGCAGTGCGTCCTGCGCGAGGAAGCCTACTTCCTGCTGGCCGCCTTCGCCTTGCAGGCCGACCTGGGCAACTTCAAGCGGAGCAAGCACTACGGGAAGTACTTCGAGCCCGAGGCATACTTCCCCGCTTGGGTAGGTGCGCCGCCCGCGGCTCCCCCTCGCCCCCCGAGGCTGCGTCCGCCCGTCTCTCTGGTGGCCCGGGCACGAGCCGCGTTGCCGGAGCCGGGGGGGTGGGGTGGGGTGGGGGGGTTGGCCGTGTTTTGAAAGGATCCAGGCCGCAGGCGTCCTGCCAGCCCGGGAGTGGGTGTGCGCTTCCGTCAGCTGGAAAAAATGCGGAGGGAGGGGGGGTTGCAGCTTGGCCAGAATTGAGTTGGCTCTTCCAGAAATTAGGCTCTTGAGTGTCCTTCCTGTCTGACTTTGTTCCGGGGGGGGGGGGTTGGTTTTCATCCTTGCTTTGTGCCAGCTTGGCTCTTCGTGGCATTTTATGCCCTTAGTCCTTTCGATGGGGGTGGGCAGGAAAGGCAGAGAAGGCCGGCCCAGCTGGCTGCTGGGGGGCGGGTGACCCAAGGCACTGGGGCGAGAGAGCTGGAGCTGGGCCAGACCTCGAATGGGCCTGTGGGCTTCCCAGCGTCTCACAGAAACGTCAGGCTTCGGTGCGGGTGCCAGGAAGCACTTCCGGACAGTCGGGACCACCAGGGTGTGGCATGGGCTTCCCCGGGAGGTGGTGTGGGCCCCATCGGTGCGGGCGTTCGAGGACAGGCTGGACGTGCCTGTGTTGGGAATTGCATGACAGAGCCGGGTGGCCGGACTAGGCCCCCTGGCAGCCCCCTCCTTTGTGTCTGTGGTTCCAAGCGTGCATTGGCACACCTGTGTTTCACACATCGCACTAGCTAGACCTGTTGGGCGCTGTGTGAATGGAGCGCCCTGGGAAAAGCGGTGCTGGTGGACAAGCTCCGTGCGTGTACACGCACCCTGCCTGGCCTCCTCTGAAGAAGAACCCAAGGCAGCATGCGTTGCAGTCCTCCTCTCTATTTTATCCTCACAACAACCCTGTGAGGTAGGTGGGACCAAGCACATAGTTTATTATTCCTTATGAAGTTATTGAGTTTATAGCCTACTTTTGTCTTCCAGACAAGCTCAAAGCAGATTACATCATTCTCCTCCTGTGCCCCTCAGTCTTATCCCCACAACAACAGCCCTGTGAGGTAGGCAGGGCTGAGCATCTGCGACTGGCCCAGAGCCACCCGGTGGGTTGGATGGCCGAGCGGGGACTCGAACCCGGATCCCCTGCACCACGCCGGCTCCCACTGTGCCACATGGACTGGCAGTGTGGGAGCGTTCCTAGAGCATGTGCTGACCGCCTCATTGAAGACCACCCAGTGCACTGTTGCAGAAGCCCCCAGAGTTCCCGTGGTGGGGGGGCGGGGGCAGTTGGGGCTCAGTGGGGCTGGCTTCTGGGCAGCAGCCGGCCTGGGAAGACGTCGGCCCAGGAGAGGCCTTGGCGATGCGGACGTCCTGAGACCTGGCCGAGGGCTGTGCCCGGGGGCTTCGGCTGCCCAGGTCCCGAGGCAAAGGCCCCCCCCCCTCGGGGCCGCGGCTCCTCTCCCACTCAGCCATGGCTTGCCGAGGGGTCCAGCGGCGCTGCCACCTTGCAGGGGCCCCACTCATCCAACCCGAGCTGGGAGTCACCGGACGGTGCGTGCGCTGGGGGGCGGGGGGGCTTCCCTCGGGGACTTCCGGGCAGCGCTGGCTCGGCCCCGCAAGGGCCGGCAAGATGGCGCGGCAAGACGCTCTCCGGGCCTCTCCCGGGCTTTGCCTGTGGCTGTTTGCAGCTTGCCAGGATGCCTCTGGGGGAGCGATCATTCAGGGCCCCGGCCACGCGGTTGGTGTGGCGGGACCCCCATAACCCTGCAAGGGGGCTGCCCCGTTCCCCGTTGCTATAGTAGGGGCCCATAACCCCATAGAGCTTGTCCTGCTGAGAGCAGGGAGGAGGAGGCAGGCTCTGGGGATGGAAGCTCTGGCGTGGGAAGGGGGGTGTGGGTCCCCCCAGGGGGGTGGGGGGCTGCAGGTCTGTGGCCTCCGGCTCTGCCCCCGCCCGAGTGCGTGCCAGTCAGGCCCCTGCAGCGCCCTCGGGCCGTGCGGGACCCTGTGTGCGTGTCTTCGGCTCACACATGGGAGCAGTGACAGCTGTGGGCAACCCCAGAATAGATCGCGGCTATACAGGGACGCTGATGTCACGGGAATGCACAACAGAGGCATTCACGCTGCCCCCGTGGCGATCCGGAAATGCAGGGCTGGGGCGACGGGGGCGGAGAAGGTGGTTAACTGTTTCGTGGCTGCCCGACCCACAAGGACGCGGAGCCGGCTCCTGAATTAGCCATTTCTGCCCCCTCTCCACCTGTGTTGGGCCCCAACTCCCATCATCCCCAGCCCCCCTCTTTTGGCCCAGCACTTGTGGAAGGAGACTTTTCTGCTTGGGCACCTGTGAGAAACTTTATGCTCCAAGTCAGAGGCGGAGGGACAGGGGGGTCCGTTTGGCCCCCGTACTCTGTTATGTAGATTTCGTGCTGTTCAGAATTCTCTCCTTCCAGAAGAGAAAAATTTCTGGGGAAAATTCACCTTTGCTAATCCTAAGCAAAAAGGTGCAGTGAGCACATCATTGTGAGCAAAGAAAGGCACGAACCGAGGTAGGAGGCCCGGAATGATCCCGTGCCAAGCCCGCCGCTTCCCCCAGTCGCAGGAAAACAAGCTGAATCAGCACCAAGCCTTGACTGGCAATTGCCCCTTTCGCTTTTGTGGCATTCCGCGGGTGGCAAAAGCCGTGGGAGGGGCTCTCTTTTTCCGGAGCAGGGCAGAAACCCCCCCCCCCACAGTTTGGGGAGTCTCACAGCCTCTTGTGCAACCCAGAGCTTTCCGTGCTGTGTGCTTCGGCCCTGGTGCCAGGAGGAAAAGGGTCGCGAGCTTTTCCGGTGGGCTTGGCTGACCCGTTTCACGTTCAGCCGCTTCCAAGATGACCTGCAAAGGTTAGCCTGCTAAGAGGAGCTTATCCTCAAGTAGGGTTGACTTGCCGTTTCCACTCTGGGCTCCCCTTCCCCGGAGCATTTCGGCCTGGCACCCCACTGCTTGGAGGGCGGGGCCTTGAATGCCCCGGACTGGGGCAGGCGCACGCAGCTTCGGGGTGACGCAGGCCCTCTGGGGCAAGAACCTGCTCCGAGCCAGGATCTGCTCCTGTCAGATGCCATTTCGGCAGCCCCCGCTCACCAGGATGGGCGTAAGTACGACTGACGGCTTTGGGTTGCTCCCCGCTTCCTAACATTGGCCTTAGAGGACGGGGCGAGACGTACGGAATGGGGTTCTGGCATTCCTGTCCTGCTGGTGGACGCATGAGTCCGAAAAGCCGAATCCCGCACCAAGGAAATGCAGGTGCGTGTTTATGAAATGCCCTTCGCAAAGTTAAGGGCGTTGGGGTATTTACTCGCAAAGTTTCTGCATTGTTTCTCCTAAAAATCAAAATGCCCCCAGATAAAACAGAGCATCCTAATTCATTTCTATTTAAAAACCAGATGGCACTTAAAACCAGCAGAAATGTAAACTCAGGAACAGTAAAACTTAAGTGTAAAATCGAGCTCCTTCCAGGAAGGGGTTTTATTAGAAAGCTCCCTGGAGTAGTCGCTCTTTGACTGGACTATGAATGGATACCACTCTCATGGCAGAAAGTGAAGAGGAACTAAAGAGCCTCTTGATGCGGGTGAAGGAGGAGAGTGCAAAAGTTGGCTTGAAACCCAACATTAAGAAAACTAAGATCATGGTATCCGGTCCTCTCACTTCCTGGCAAATAGATGGGGAAGAAATGGAGGTAGGGACAGATTTTATTTTCCTGGGCTCCTAAATCACCGCAGAGGGGGACTGCAGCCAAGAAATTAAAGGACGCTTGCTCCTGGGGAGGAAAGCTGTGGCAAATCTAGACAGCACACTAAAAAGCAGAGACATCACCCTGCCGACAAAAGTGCGTCTAGTCAAGGCGATGGTTTTCCCAGTTGCAAAGTATGGCTGTGAAAGCTGGACCATAAGGAAGGCTGAGCGCCAAAGGACTGAGGCCTTTGAATTGCGGTGCTGGAGGAGACTCCTGCGAGTCCCCTGGACCGCAAGGCAACCAAACCAGTCAGTCCTAGAGGAGATCAACCCTGGCTGCTCTTTAGAAGGCCAGACACTGAAGATGAAGCTCAAATACTTTGGCCACCTAATGAGAAGGAAGGACTCCCTGGAGAAGAGCCTGATGCTGGGAACAATTGAGGGCAAAAGAAGGAGGGGAGGGCAGAGGATGAGGGGGCTGGATGGGGCACTGGGGCGGTGGGTGAGGGCTTGCGTGGACTCCAGGGGAGGGTGGAGGACAGGAAGGCCTGGAGGAATGTTGTCCATGGGGTCGCGATGGGTCAGACACGACTCCGCGACTAACAACAACATGAAGGGATGCGGGAGTGGAACCTGGCACAGGTCTTGGTGTTGTGAGCTCCGAGCAGCAGGGACCAGCACCAAAAAAGCCCTGCTCTGGCCTCTCGTATTGTGATTCCAGTCAAGGAAGGAACTCTGGACAAGGCCGGAGAGGAGACACTGCCTCAGATCAGTGCGGCCTTAAAGGTTTGGCTCCTCGAAGCAGGTCTGGAGGTTACGGGCGGGCCAGTTGGGCGCTCCCTGCAGTCTGGTCTCATCCAAAGGTGGTCCACAAGATTCCAGCCCAGCTTGCCTTCAGGGGCAGCCCCGTGCAACATGCAGGGCAGGACCAGGTCACGTGGTCATCAGGCCGGGGAGGACGGATCCTGAGTACAGAGGGCAGGGCAAAGCTGGCTGCCTCTCGCAGGGGGCGTGTGGTTTGGATAGCAGCCTGCCCCCACACCGCCCGATTCCACCCACCTCTTTTCCCTGCCTCTCCATGCGGACGGGAATTCGTCAGTGGGTATCACACCTCAGTATATCCTCTGAATACCATTGTTAGCTGCAGATTGTTATTCATGGGCAAACCATGGTTTGCATTAACCATGGTTAAGCGTTGCTGGTGCTTTGAGGAAGCCTCCCTTTGGGGAGTTTCCTGGCCGCTCTGCTTGCAAAGGAGCGAGCAGATTCCCTCGGATGCTTCCTCCGCCGGCATTTGCTCATCTCTGCAGTTCGAGCCATGGTTTCATGGCATGCTGTGAAACTGCAGCCAGGGTTGAGGTTCTGTTCGGATGCCAGGAAGCCCTTCTGGACAGTCAGGACCCCAAGGGTGTGGAATGGGCTCCCACGGGAGGTGGTTGAGGCCCCATCGGTGAGGGTGTTCAAGGATAGGCTGGACGTGCACATGGTGGGCACGTCATGAGCGGAGCCGGCTGGAGCCAGGGGTCAGACTAGATGGCCCGGGAGGTCCCTTCTGACTTTCTATGTTTCTATCAAACTGTGGTTAAGCATTGTATCATGGTCGGTGTGTGCAACTGTAGAGGAGGCACAGAAACATTTTGGTGCAGAAGTCTGCTTCCTCAGAAGCTCAGCTTGCTATCTTTTGTGACTAGGTTTCTAGTCCTTATGGCAGAGAAAATCGAAGACCCACCAAGAAAGTTTTGGGAACTCCTTGGAGGGCGTCAGTTATTGAGCAGTATAGAAATTTAACTGATAAATAAGATAAATAAGAACGAGAGTGGCTAGTTTCTGTGCCGTTCGACCTGGAGCAGACAGGCAAAACCACAATAAATTTTGCAAAACACGAGTATATGCTGTACGCAGAGTTGGACCGGAGTTGTGTCTTGCCTGTTGTGATTCAGCAACAACTCTCCAGGGACTTGGCACAGAGAACTTGCCCCCCCCCCCCATCCACATTTTGACTGGAGATGGCAGCCATTTGTCCTGCTGCCCAAGGCTTGCGTTCTGCCTCTGAGCTACTGGCCTGGGGCATCGTACGCATGGGCCATTTGTCTGCCTGGTTTTTAGTGCCCTGCAGAGCGCTTCTCCCAGCTGCCGTCTGTCTGCCTGGGCACTGTGCTCAACATCTAGGGCCTTCCCCCCAGTGCCACGAGGGGGGAGGCCTCCTCGCTGGCGGCCCCCTCTATGGAACGACGCTCGCCACTGAGGCCCGCTCGGCTCCAGCCTTTCAGCACCAGGCTAAGACGGCCATGAAGGCGCTTAAAGACATGTGATATTCGTAATCCTTTTTCTTCTCCCATTATTTTAATTGTTAAATTGTTTTAGTTTGCGGTTCTTCACCGAATACTGGATGCTGTGATGCTTTTTACTCTTACTTTTGTTTTATTCTATTTTATCGAAGTTTGTTGTGAACCGTCCCGAGACATTGGTGAGGGGGCGGTCTAGAAAAGTTTTAAATAACTAAAATAAATAATAACCATGCCAGGGTTTGAGGGGACTTCCCATCCCAGGTGTTTCACAGGCCTCCCTCTACCGTCTTCCTTGTTTTTGATTAGTCCTGTATCCTTAGCATGTTAGAACAAGTTTATAGGTATCGCCTGCTCGGTGGGAGCGCTGGACGCCCCCTCTCACCCGCCAGAGGCCCTGCGGGCTGGGGGGGGTCGTGGTCCAGCGCCTCCGGGGGGCACCGGCTTGGCGGGGGGGGCGCCCCATCCCCGGCCGCTCAGCACGTGCGCTGGCGTCTCTCGGCAGGTGGTGGCCAAGCGAGGGAGGGGCTACATCCTGAAGCACATCCCCATCATGCACAAGGACCAGCGGGCGCTGCCTGCCTCCGAGGCGCACCTCCGGTACATCAAGGAGGCCGTGCGGCTGGACGACGTGGCCGTGCATTACTACCGGCTGTACAAGGTGCGCGGGGGGCCCGGGCGGGGGCGGGAACGGCCCCGGGGCGGTTTCTGGGGGCCGAGTACCTCTCGGTCGATCGCGCCTCGGGGAAGCCTCGCGGTGCCCCGGCCCACGCCGAGCGGGTCCTTTGGCCACGCTTTCCGGACCGGCCGAGGCACCGCCGCCGTGCGGCTGGGCCACGGGGCCGCGGCGGGCGCTCGCTTGACGGCCGAGCCTTCGCTACACCCCCGCAGCAGGGACGGCGGCCTGGGTTGCGTGCGGAGGCGGCGGCATCCCCGGCCCGGCGGGCACGGCCGGGGCGTGGGGCTGCCCCTGTCGCGCACAGCCCTTGCTCGGCAGGCAGCCGTTCCCCCGGTCCCGCCGGCAGAACTGAACTCGGGAGGACCGTGGCTGCCAGTTAGGGCCGAACATGGTGGCCCAGAGGCCTGGCCCAGACTAAGTGGCTTCCCACGGTCCTGGCCGCGTGTGCCCAAGCCCTGCTCTGGGAGGTGGCGAGGTTTCGCCAGACGGTCGCAAAGCTGGGCGGGTGCAGGGGGTGGCCGAGCCCAGTGGCAGCGGGACGGCTTCCCGCGCGGGGCCAGCCTGTTCCCATCTGCAAGAGCCACGCGGGGGGCCCTGCTAAGCCTCCACCGTGGCCCCTGGGCCGCTGGGTGGCCCTTCGCCATCATTCATTCATTGCATTTATTTATTGCATTTATATGCCACCCCAGTAGCCCAGAGGGCGCTCTGGGTGGTTTACCAACATTAAAACGCCACCAATCCTAAAAGAAATCAATTGGCTACACCACAACAGAGTGTAAAATAACATGGTTAAAATGAATTAAGTAAATAAATATGCCATTAAAATTAATTAACTTTAAAATATTGGTTAAATAAAAAGGTCTTGACCTTCTCCTGTGTGCCGACACCATGCAAGGCAGGGCTTTTCGTGACGTATTTGTCACACGGGTGTGCCCCCTTTTTCCTTCTTGCGCAGAGCCCAAGGGGGCTTCTGTGCCCCTCCTCTCCTCCCCTCCCCTTTTCTTTTTCACAACAACCCTGCGAGGTAGACTGAATGGGTGCTTCAGGGCTGAGCAGAGGCAAGAATCCAGGTCCCTCTGACACTGCAGCACACGGCGCAAGAACTGATCTCTTCCTGGGCGAGGGTGTTATCACTGGCTACTAGGCCTGCTGGCCACATGCTCCCTCCTTCCCTGAGGCGGCCTGCCTGCAGCACCCCTTGCTGAGGAGCTGGGCAGGCGGAGGCCTCGCACCCACCCTGCTTGGGGGACCTTGTGGGGAGGGGGTCTGCTCCGTGCATACGGAGGGCTGGCCAGGTCCCAATCCAGCAGGCTTCCCTTCGGTTCTGCACTCACGGGAAGGCAGGGCCAGGAGCTTGCGCTGCTGGAAGGGTCTCATCCGGATCCTTTCTCTTAGGACAAGAAGGAAATCGAGGCCTCCCTGACCCTGGGGCTCACCACGCGGGGGATCCAGATATTTCAGGTGGGTGTCCCACAGGGGTGGGGGGGGGCTCTGACCATTCCCGGCTCCGGCTCCAACCCTGCCTGGCAGGCTGCCCCCAAGGGAGGCAGCCTCGGCGAGGAGGGAAGGGGGCCGCCCCCGAGGAGGCAGCTCTGGCAGAGACGGCCCGCCACCCAGTCTGGCACCAGGCCACCGCGTCGTGCCTGCCCGCAGCCTCCTCTTCCTCACCGCTTCCTCTTCCAGAATGCGAACGGCGAGAAGCTCCTGCTGTTCGACTTCCCCTGGACCAACGTGGGGAAGCTCGTCTTCGTGGTGAGTGGAAGCCGCCGGGGTCAAGCTTTCCCCGCAGCCCCTGCAGACGCTCCGCTCAGCCTCGGGCACCAGACCGCGCAGCCCCCGGGGCGGAGGGCGCCCTCCCCAGCGGGCAGCATCTGCGCCCAGTGGCGGTGCTCCGGCTGTGCCCACTGGCTCCCACCACGGCCCGGAGGGAGGGCGGCCAGAGGGAAGCGCCGGGCACTTTTCTCCCCGCAGCCCCCTCCCCGCGGGCACAGACCCTCCCTCGGCGGTCCCTCCATTGAGAATGCATTATACAAAGTTTTTATATGCCGTCCCAATGCTGAAAGTCTCTGGGCGGCTTACAGAAAACAAAAACACAAAGCAACCGTGACAACGGCGACACACAACACACCGCATCCGATAAATGATGGTAAAAGCAAGGCCAGGCCCAAGTAACTGTTAAAATATCGGGAAAATGAAAAGTCCTCGGCAAGAGGGAGGGAGCGGCCAGGCCCGGAAGAAGCCGGCGGGAGGCAGCAGGAACGCCCGGACCCAGACGTGCCGCCTCAGGAGGGCCTCCCAGGATTTAGGGGTGGACGGGACGTGGAAACAGCGTTCCCCCAGCCTTCCCCATTTTTGCCAAGAGGCAGCCGCTGCTGTTTCATGGGCGCATTCTGCTGACAGATACTCCTCTCCTCTCTCCTTTGCCAATGGTGCTGTTAACTGCCAGGGCCTGGTCGTTATGCATGGAACAGAATACGGGGGGGGGGGGTCTCCCAATTTGGCCAGTGTTGATTGCCCCTCTGTGAGGAGACGGTGGGGAAGGATCGAGCCCAGCCTTGTTTGAAGTGCAAAGGTTTCCTCCCACAGGGAACTGCACTTCGGCTTTGCTGAGCAAAACCCGAAGCGTTCGGTCATGAGATCTAGCACCCGCAGCCACTTCCCGCCTGGGGCAGGCCAAGTTTAATAAAGCGCAGAGAGCGCCAGCGTTCTGCGTGGAATAGAGGATTAGCGCCACTGCTGTGACTGGCTTTTGCCCTCGCTTCAGCTACATCAGAGCAGCGTGCTAGCCACACAACAGTCTTGTGAGGTAGGCCAGTATTTAGCGCTATACAGGTGCACCTGCTCAAACAATAACATAGGAACATGCATACATTTATTTATTTACAGTGTTTCTACCCCGTCCTTAACTGCGTCTCAGGAAGGTTACAACAAAATCCAACTAACACTTGGATTAGACAGAAAAAATACAACCCACATAATGCCATAAAAAAGGTAGAATGCGATAAATGATAGAATGTGGCTAAGCGTGAGAATAACAGTCGTTCAGAATTTAAATATTAAAATGTCAGGTCAATTAAAAAAAGGTTTAAGAAGAGGTGAAAAGGTTTGCAAAACATAAGAAAAGCCCTGATGTATCGGAGCCACGGTCCATCCAGGCCAGCCCTCCGTGCACACGGGGGCCAAGCAGCTGCCCCCAGGAGCCCTCCAGCGGGGTGGGGGCAAGGCCTCCCCCTGCCCAAGCCCCTCGGCAAGGGGTGTTCCAGGCAGGCCGTCTCTGAAGAAGGAGGCCACCCATGGCCAGCAGGGCTAGTGGCCACGGAGAGCCGCCTCCTCCACGGATCCGTCCGGTCCCTCTTTAAAGCCACCCTTGCCGCGGCCGTCACCGCCTCCCGTGGAAGCAGGTTCCATCGACTGCTGATTTAGGGTTGGCGTTGGCCCAGGACACCCCCCCCCCATGACTCACATGCCTCAGCGGCAGCCTGAGCCCAGGCCCCCCGCTTGCAAGGGTTTTGTGTGCCCCACTGGCTGCCCGGAGCGCCCAGCCCTCTTGCAGCAGGTTGGAGTAAAATGTAAAAGAATATTAAACCAGCCCCAGATAAAGCCGGGCAGCCGAGTGCGTCACTGCGGTGAGTCAGCGCGGGAAATCCTCCACGGAGCACGGATGCTCCCATCCACGCGCTCAGCGCGGGGCGGCCCCAGACGGAAGTCTCCCGGGTCCGCTCTCCACCCCCACGGCCTTTCCCCGCGGCCACGTGCCCCCGGGGACGCCGGGTAGGCCCTGGGACTGCAGTCGCTCCCACAGGAAACAAGGGCCCGATCCTTGCCATCCCGGCACTGAGGAGGAAGGAGGGGGCGCCACGTTGGCAGCCGCAGCCGGCCAGCGCCGATTTCTGTTGGGCAGGAAGCCGTCTATTTGCAGCATACCTCCAGCAGGCTATTGGCCCACCGAGGCCAAGTCCCTGAGCATGTGCAGAGTGGTTTGTTGGACTCAAACGAGCGACTGTCTCCTTTCCGTAACCCCGGGCCTCCCACCCGGCTGTGCCCCTCTGGAGACATGCAAGCCCCTGCTCCAGCTGGCCTGCCCTCCTCCCCCGACATGTGCCACGGGGCCAAGGGTCGGGCCTGTGGGTCTGGCGGCTCCCCGTGCCCCCCGGCACTTCCGAACCCGGGGTCTGCCTGAGCCCCTGGCGGCGGTGAGCGCGAGAGATGCTCGGCAGGGGCACCGAGGCGGCGCCCACCCGCCCGCCAGTCCCCGTGACCCTCCGATCCCTGCAGGGCAAGCGGTTCGAGATCCTGCCGGACGGGTTGCCATCCGCCCGCAAGCTCACCTACTACACCGGCTGCCCGCTGCGCTCCCGCCACCTGCTGCAGCTGCTGAGCAGCAGCCACCGCCTCTACATGAACCTGCAGCCCGTCCTGCGGCGGATCAGGACGCTGGAGGAGAACGAAGGTAAGCCGCCCCTCTCCCGGTCCGGCCCCGGCCGTTATTGAGGCCTTCTGTGGCTGCTGCACCCCGTCACTGAAGCTCTCTCTGGCCGGTTTGCGCCTTGTTCCTCTCCTGATCTGGGCCAACATGCCTGCCCAAGTGGCTAGTCCACAAGTGGCTTTGAATCCCTGCACGGCCTCCCACAGGGGAGCTCGGAGGCCCAGGCAAAGGGCTGGGCCTGGACCGCCTGCAAGAGGCGCGGGTTGTGCCGTTTTCGTTTTGTGCCTCGTCCAGGTGGAAGGCAGCCTGGGGGGGGGGGCGGCCTGAGTGGGGGGAGGCCAGCCGGGCGGCCACCGCCTCTGACATCTCTTCACGAGAGGCTTTTTCAGAAAGACAGAGAGGATAATGCTCAAGTTGATCCTCACTGAGAGCCAGTGTGGTGCGGAGGTTCCTGCGCTGGCTGGAGACCCAGGAGACCACGATTCTGGTACCCACTCGGCCAGGCAGCTCACGGAGCGACCTCGGACCAGTCCCGGTCCTTCAGCCATCCTACCTCACAGGGCTGTTGTGGTGAGGACGAAGACTGAGAGGAAGAGGAAGAGGAGACTACATAAGCCGCCTTGAGCTCTTTCGAAGGAAAAGGGCAAGGTGGAACTATGACAGAGGAAATATAAATAAAACAATATGCAACGTATTAATGCATTATTAAATATATTTCCTCCTTTTTTCACTTGCAAGCAGCCCAAGGCAGCTGTCATAGGCCTCCTCTTCTGTTCTGGACTCACAACAACCCTGTGAGGTAGGCTGGGCAGTGTGGCAGCGCCCCCCTGTGGTCACCCAGAGACCTGCAGGGCTCAGTGGGGACTGGCACCTGGGCATCTAATGCAGTGGTGAGAGCGGCAGTGGGGATGTCGGGGGTCACCCCCCCTCGCTCGCCGCTGACCGGGTGCCCCTCGTGAGCCTCCCGGCTTTCCCCGCAGAGAAGAAGCAGTACCGCGAGTCCTACATCAGCGACGCGCTGGACCTCGACGGGGACCCGCTGGAGAAGCGCTCGCGGGCCAGCGGGAGCAGCTCGGGCAGCGCCAGGCCCCCGGGCCTCTCCCGCCACTCCACCGCCAGCCACGGCAGCTCGCACACCTCGGGCATCGAGGCCGACCCCAAGCCGCGGGAGCGGGCCGCCGAGGAGGACTTCCTGCTGGCCGCCGTGCACCACACGCTCCGGGCCTGCAGCTCCCTGACCAGCCGCGGCAGCTCCCACACCTCCGGCGTGGAGAGCGGCGAGAAGGAGCGGCCCGAGGAAGACTCCTCCCAGGAGGACGGTGAGCCCGCCGCGGCCGCTGCACCCGCGGGGCCTCCGCCTGCCCACGCAGAGGCTCCCCCCCCCCGGCTGGGCTCCGGGCTCCCGCGGGGGGCGGGGGCCGTTCTGCGCGCCCGAGACGCCTCTCGGACACCGCCCACACATCTGGCCAGGGGTGCCCCCTGTGCCCAGGGGCCAGAGCCAGCCCTGCGGGTGTCAGCCTCCTCCACCAGTTCTTGGGGGGCTCCCTGACCTGTGGCAGCCCTTCCCCATTCTGGGAGTAGGGAGGGCATCCGGAAGAGTCGAGGCGGGAGGGGCCCGAGGGACCAAGCCCCAGCTCAGGGCAGGACCCCCCTTAAGCCGTCCCTCCCAGAGGACTGTCCCGCTGCCTCCCGAAGGCCTCCAGGGTGGGAGAGCCCGCCACCTCCCCGGTCAAGAGTCCCATGCCGTACTGCTCCGACCGTCAGGAATTCTGCCTGATATTAGCCGGAACTGGCTTCCTGGAACGCTAGCCCATTATCCTGGGTCCTGCCCTCTGGGAGGATCAAGAAGAGATCCTGGCCTTCCTCTTTGGGGCAGCCTTTCAAGAGTGCCGTCCCACCTCCCCTGGATCTTCCCTTCCCGAGGCTCAGCATGCCCAGTTCTCGCAGTCTCTCCTCCCAGGGCCTTGTTTCCAGTCCCCGGATCATCTCCATTGCCCTCCTCTGGCCGCTCTGCGGCTCTTCCACACCTTTCTCAAACTGGTGCCCAGAACTGGGCGCAGGACTCCAGATGAGGCCTAGCCAGTGCTGAGTGCAGGGGAATGGGTTCTTGGAAGCGATACTCCTGTTAATGCAGCCCTAAATAGCATTTGCCCTTTCTGCAGCCGCATCACACGGTTGGCTCAGATTCAGTTCCTGCTCCACAGCCATTCCAAGATCCTTCCCACTTGCAGTGTTGTTGAGCCAAGGTGTCCCCATCTTGTGGTTTCCCTTTCCTAGGTGTGGAACTTGGCATTGTCCCTCGAGAAGGTCCTGCATCTCTCCTAAGGCTTAATCCCTGATCGGAAGGGCTTTATGCTGAGATACGCTGATACTTGGGGGTGTTTCTGGCCCTTTTGGCCACGTCCCCTTTCCCCTGTGGCTCTGCCCCTCGGTGGGACACATCCAAGAGCGCCGCAACGGTGAAGGTGGCCCTCAGCCCCCAGGCTAGAAACAGCCCTGAGCCAGACGGATATGGCGGGCAACCTGTCTGCAGGGTCTCCGGTGTGGTCTCGCCTCACAGGCCGGCTCGCCACCTGGCTGACTCTCCAGATCTGCGAGGGGGCCTCGGGGGTGCTCCCTGCCACCCCCAGCCCTTCGCTGGCCTCTTAGCGAGATGGCAGCCCACGTCCTGCATTGGACCAGCTCCCTCTGTGCTCGGCTTCAGGCCAGGGCTTTGGCTGGCAAAGGGGTCCCTTCCCGAGGACGCTTCCTCACCCTTTGAGTGGACACAGCCCGGTCCCACACCACCCCAGCCAGAGAGAGACGCTAAGCATGGGCGCCTCAGAGCATCCGGTCGCCCGTGGAAGGCTTCTAGGCCCCAGAAAAACTATATGGCAGGAACGGGGACCCCCAGTCTGCCTTCCTCAGTCCAGCGGCCCATAACAGGGTCAGAATATACAAGGTGGGGGGCACCTCCCAGTAGGTGTCTGGGTTTCAAACCGAAAAGCAGTGGCGAGGAAATGAAGGGAAAGCAAGAATGGCCAAAGGCGGGGTGCGTGACCCTTCCCATGGGAACCTCATCCTTTCATGGAGGGGGGGATTTTTGTGGCTGAAACTGCCCCAGGAACCAAGCTCAGCCTCTGCCTGCCCAGCTTTCCGCTCGCTCGGCCTCTTCTCGTTCCTCCCTTCCCCAGCTGGGGGCCCCCAAAGGTTCCTTCTCCCACCCAAACGACGCCTCATTTCCCTCCCTCTCCTGCGCAGAAATTGAGATGCTGGTGGATGACCCCCGAGACCTTGAGCCAGCCAGCGAAACGTCCCTGGATGACGTGAGCCCCGATGTTTGCATTTACATCACGGAGGACATGCTGGTGGCCAGGAAGTGCAACGGACAATCAGGTGACCTGCGCGAGCGCGATGCAGGCGAGCGGGGGGGGGGGATTCTTGGAAGGCCCTGGGCAAAGCAGATGTCAAGAAGAACATCTGGCGGAGGGTGTGGGGACCGCTTTCAGACCCTGCGACCTGATTCAGTTTGGAAGAAGTTTCCTGGTGGTGGGGCCCAGATACAAACTGATTGATTGATTGATTGATTGGTTGGTTTAATTTAGAATTTTTGTATGCCGTCCCATCGCTTATAGCCTCGGGACGGCTCACATAAATAAATAAACGTAATACATAAAAATAACACAATTAAAAACCCAGAATCACCCTGGCTGCAAAATTAAAACCAATAGGTATTATTAAGAGTTGTTAAAATATTGTTTAAATCAAAAGGCCTTAGCCTGGCGCCGAAAAAATAATAATGATGGCAGCAGGCGGACCTCTCTGGGGAGCGCATTCCTTGGATGGGGCGCCACCCATTTTTTATGTTAGTTCTGACCACCTGTAGCAAAGCTCAGGAGAGGGATTTCAACCTCTGAATCGGGGGACATGCAAAAACTGGGAATGATCGGCACTGGAGGAAAGATGGTGAGAAGGGGCTGCAGTCAGGGGAGGTGAGGTGGACCGGCATCTTCAGACTGAAATGCCAGGGATTTCCTTGTGTAAATCTGTCATTCCGGCACGTGGTGTTCCAAAACGGGATGGTTCCAGTTGACTTCAGTTCTGCCCACACAACCAGAAGGCATCCCAAAGTGAAAAGTTATGTGCCATCGAGTCGTCTCTGACTTATAGTGATAAAGAAAGAACTCCAAAATGCCCTGCCCAGCTCTTGAAATTTATTTATTTTTATTTATTTATTCAACTTCTATATTGCTGTAACTATTCCGAGGACTCTCGAGCGGTAAATAAAGTGATATACAAAGAAATAATAAAATCAGGGTGCCATGGGAAGATGGCAAGTAAATGAAGTACATAACTAAATACCAAGCACAGTGTAGAACAACATATCCATCTAAAACATTCCTAAAAGACAAAAAGAAAATATCTTTCTTTGGTGGGCAGGTCATGAGCGGAGGTGGCTGGAGCCGGGGGTCAGACTAGATGGCCCAGGAGGCTCCTCCTGCCTCGCTCTGTTTCTGTGTTTCTATATCTAGCACAGCCAGTCAACAAGAAATAACCGCCAAGCCATGCCATTAACTCCAAATGCACAGATAAATGTTGCCCGTCTGTGCGCAGAAGGCTTTTCAGGGATCAATTACACATCTCCCCTCTCGAGGTAGCATGGCCACATCCCATGTTCTGAAAAGCCAGCCAGATGGTGGCCAAGTGGTGGAATTTTTTCAGGACGACACAAAGAGTCAGCATGCAAAGCAAAATATTTGCCGGGCTGTACAAAGCGCGCCAGTCTTGAACAAAGCGGGCGCTCACCGACTCGGGTTTTTTCTCCCTCCCTCGCTGTGGAATTCAGGACTGGTCGTCAAGGAAGTCAGCTCCTCCACATCAAGTTCCTCGGAGACGGTGGTGAAGCTCCGTGGCCAGAGCACGGATTCCTTGCCGCAGGTGCGTGCGCGGTGAGGGGTGTGAGGCCGCCTGGGAAGTTGCGTGCTTCCCATGGGACTTGCAGAGTGATGCCCGGGAAGGGGTGGCTGGCTCAGGCGGGCAGCTTCTTCTCAGGTGGGCAGCTAGAACGCCCCAGGTGCGGAGGGACAGGTGGGGGCAGTGCCATTTCTGCTACTTTAGGGGCAGATCAGCTGTTCTGTGTTTCTCCAGGTCCCCAGAGCGTTTTGTTTCATTAAAAACTGGGGTAACATTTTGGCCATAAGAAAATGTCCGGAATTCATTTATTTATTTTATTTATTTATTTAGAAAATTTCTTTGCCGCCCCATTTGCCGAAGCCTCAGGGCAGCTCACAAATAGATCAATTAAAATATAATACAATAAAATATAAAACAAGTTTTACCACATTTTATTGCCATACCTTTGACGAGGCCAGCAGATGTGGTTTGATTGCACACTAAAATTGACCTTTGGCGACTCCTGTATCCCTAAGCTCCAAGAGGGTCCAGTTTGGTCTGTAAGCGAATTTTAGGTCTTTGATACACAGCAATGCTAAAAATGATATTTTTGTGGTTAACAATAAATAATTTGTAATAAGGCAGTATGGGAACTACGTAGGGGAAGCACTGGGGGCTGCGTGAAACCTACACTCCTGCTTTACGGGAACCCAAGATAACGGGTTTTGATGCTCTACTGAGGGTGCTTGAAAAATAAAAACCAGTGGATGGCACAGGGAAGGGAGGATGGGATTGACCTGATGCCGTGTGCTGCCTCTGGAGCACCTTCAAGCACCTTCTTTCGGCCCAGAGGGTGAACGCCGCCCTTGGCTGCACAGCCAGAAGCGCGGCTTCCAGATCGAGGGAGGTGTTACTGCCACTCCATACGACTCTGGTGCGCCCGTAACTGGAGTATTGTGCTCAGTTTTGGGCCCCTCATTACAGGAAGGATATAGCCAGGTTAGAGTCAGTGCAGCGTAGGGCCACAAGGTTGGTGGCCGGTTTGCAGGGGATGCCGTATGAGGCGAGACTGAGGGAGCTGGGTCTCTTCAGCCTGGAGAAGAGGAGACTCAGGGGGGATCTGTGGGCGACATGCAGGTGTGTGAGGGGGTGTCACACGGAGGTGGGCAGAGACCTGTTCTCCCCTGCAGAGGAAGGCAGGACGTGCTCCAGTGGAGGCAAGCTCAGGCAACTTGGTTGCCAGGAAGTACTTCCTAATGGTTGGGACCCCAAGGGTGTGGAATGGGCTTCCATGAGAGGTCGTTGGGACCCCATTGGTGCGGGTGTCCAAGAATAGGCTGGACATGCAATGGTGGGCATGTTGTGAGTGGAGCCGGCTGGAGCCAGGGGTCAGACTAGATGGCCCGGGAGGCCCCTCCTGACTGACTCGCTCTGTTTCTCTGTCTCCTCCAGACGGGCGGCAGGAAACCCAAGACCTCCACCGACAGGCACAGCCTGAGCTTGGACGACATCCGGCTGCACCAGAAGGACTTCCTGCGCCTGGCCAGCCTGTGTCAGGAGTCGGCGCAGAGCTTCACCTTCGGCTGCGGCCACGGCCTGGCCGGGGACAGCCTCTACTGCAGCGGCTGCCTCGCACAGCAGTGCGTCAACATGCAAGACACTTTCCCCGTCAAGAGGGCCAGCAAGTACTTCTCGCTGGACCTCGCCCACGAGGACGTTCCGGAGTTCGTGGTCTGACGCTGCCCTCGCGGCCCTCTCGAGAGACAATCCAGGAAGGCGTCGTCCCTTCGTGAGCTCCTTCTGGTGCCAACGGGGATCCCCCCCTCAGCGTCTTTTTGGGATGCTTTGCAATCAAGGCCTTCCTCCGCACTTTTCCAGGTTCCCGTCCCGGCAGTGGGATCCTGGGCACGGATGTTCGGGGGTGGAACTCAACGCGAGTGTAAATCGGTTGGATTTCGAAAACCTGGTTTCTCTCAAAGCAGCTCCTTGGCCTCTCTCATTTTGACAAAAGAAGAAAGATGCACCATGTTGCTCTTTTTTAATTGTTCTGTCCTCGTCCTTCGCCTCCTGGGAGCCCTCAAATCTTCCAGATGCCCTTCTTTTTTTCGCATTTGCAACTTTTGTTTGGTCTCTGCCATTGTGGTGTAGGTGCTAAATGTGAGAATGTTGTCTTTATTTTTCCCCCCCGCTTGTTCAACTCTATTAAGCCAAAGAAACTCATGTGCTCCCACATGGGTGACATGGAGACCGAGGCCTGAGCCATAACAAACCAAAAGGACACTGTGAGTGTCGAGAAGACGGCAGGAAGGCGGACCAAGTTGTGAGATGCGGTCAATCCGTTTTGCGACTTTGCTTCTTCGCCACACACAAAGTTCTTGGGCTGCGATCCAAGCCAAGCCTCCATCGGATACTTTGAGAAGTTTACAAAAAACCAAAAACTGGTATGCAGAGAATGGGATTTAGAAAGCTTCTGGAAGCTTTTTTGTTTGTTTGTCCGTTCGTTTGTTTCTTTTTATCCCTTGGGGGAAAATGCTAAAGAACAAATCTTTAAGGATGTAGCAATAAGTTTGGTTGACCAAAGTACCTTTAAGTTAGGGGTGGGGGGGAGAATATATAAAAGTACATATATAAATCTATAGAGAGGAATCTCTGTTTAATGGATGTTCGAACTTAAAGATCCCATGTTTTATTTTTATTTTGTTTGAACTGCCTTTTGTAGAAAGAGTTACCTAATGCCTCGTTTCTTTCATATATATATATATTATAGATACACACACAGGGATGCGGGAGGGAGTGATCAAGAGAGAGAGACTCCTGTAAGGGCTGACCTGATGCAGGGAGAGGGAAGGGGTCTCCCTTCTTGCTCGTTTTGGGGAGGTGAGGAGGTTCCCGCAGAATCCAGTAGGAAGGGGGAGAATCCCCGCTGCCTGGTTTGCGTCCGGCGCACCTGGGCCGTTCCCCACATCGGGCATTCGTGCTCACTGCAGCACCTGCTCACCTGGCGTCTCACCTGCCCAGCAGGTTTGTGAATGCCCAGCGGTCTGCAGTGGGGCAAAGGAGAGCTTTCTGCACCTTTACACCTTGGGCTTCAGGGGGACTCTCAGAACCCCCTGCAGTTCTGTCAGCCCGGCCCACTGGGGCTTTGGGCCTCTGCCACGCCAGGGGCAGGGAGGGGTTGGAACCCAGCCTCGCCCCCATCTTCCCCCCCACTCCTCTCAGCTCGCCCCCCAGCGGGATGTGTGGCTTTTACAGACGCACATGAAGTGCGCCCGGCCGCGACGCCTGCATTTGGCCCAAGCCCCCTGGCCCGTCCCTTTCTGTGCCTCCGAGGCCCCCGTGAAATAAAAGCTTGCGCACGTGTGTGCTGCAGAGAGCGAGGAAGGGCCAGGGCTTCCCACATCTTGTGCGTGTGCGACAGAAATGCACTGGCCGCTGCAGAGTATCTTTGCCTCGCCCTGTGCTTTTTAAACGGGCCCGGATGGTCCCTTGTCTGGGATTCAGGTGCCTGCAAGCCATTACATGGAGCTGTTTTCCCCAAGCGGTTTTTAAACACACACACCATAGATACACACACACACACAACACGACTCAGAGCACAATGCCTTTTGAAATTATCTATCTATATATATATATATTTAAAGAATTTTGTACCCACAGCAATAGCATTCCCATATTTTGATAACATTGTCTTTTTATAAAGCTGAAAGCATACAGATATTTTTGTAAAGAGGGCTTACCTTCCGTTTTCACAGCATCCCGGTGAGTCCAGAAAGTCTGCCTAAAATGGCCTTCCCCAGCCACGTGCCCTCCAGCTGGGCCAGGACTACAACCCCCATCATGCCACACTAGTAAGGCAATATCAGGCGTCCACGATGGGAGAGGCGGTCCCGCACAGCCGGTGGGCTTCAGTGGGGTGAAGCCCGGTCCAAACAAACAGAGAAGGGGCTCGTGGTGCAGCGAGGGGTGTGGGGGGGGGCTGCCCCACCTGGGTGCCCCCCTTGGTGTCCGTTAACGGCTGTTTCAGCTTGCTACGCAAGCTCTTGTTGGGTTCCCAGCCAGTGCCCCCTTCCCAGCCAGCCGGCTCCCCTCTGGCCATGGGGACCCCAAGGGGCGCAGCTGCCCCTCAGAGGAAAGGCGTGCCATTTCTGGGTCTCTGCTCTCCTGCTCCAGGTGGTTTGGGGAGCCGAGACGCAGGCGGGGGGGCTCTTCCAGGCGGCTCCGGAGGCCCGGAAGGAAGGAGCCCAGGTGCCGACCGGGCCTGCAGCTGACGCTGGAGATCGTGGTTGGCTCAGTCGCAGGACGTTGTACCAAAGAGAGAGGAGGGGGTTAAAATCAGCCTGTCTGACAATCGCTTGTCGGCTTCCTAAACTTACGCAGAGTTTTGCTTGGTGTCCTTTGAGGACGGAGTGAAAAAAGGCAGAACACCCCGGCTCTCCCGGGGCAAGCAGGGTCTCCCAGACCCCGGACGGGGATAAAGCGATGACTGGCTACCAGTCGAAACGGCCACCGGTTGCTTCCAGTAGCAAAGGCAGTGGGTCTGTGCACCCTCTGCTGTGGCACATGGGCAGCATGGCACTGCTGCCCTCTGGCCCCGCTGGTCCCCTTGGCAGCCGGTTGGTTTGGTTAGGGCTCTGCCCAGCCGGACTCGGCCTGGCTCTCTGAAGCTCGCCAGCTTTCCGCTGGGAACTGGCGCTCAGGGCAGCCCCAGGAGTGGCAGGATTGGACCCCAGAGCCGCTTCGGGTGGGGTTGCGGACCTCCATTATGCGCGTGTCTCCGTGCGGCGGCCACGTGGTGCTGCTGGCTGGAGGGAGGGAGGGAGGGAGGGAGGGAGCACTGGAGGAGGGCTGCCCCAGGCGGGTCTGGGAGGGGGGTCCCCTGTGCTGCAAGCAGGTACCCCTTGCACACCTGGGGAGCTTCCGGCCACCTTCATACGGCATGTATGCGCCTGCGGAGCGCTCCGCTCGGCCCACAAGCTCCCCGAGTCCTCCAGGATGGGGCTCTGCCTCCAGAACCGCCTCCGTTGCCGTTTCTGATCATGGATCAGCGGAAACAGGTGGGGAGGCGGGGCAGGCGGGTCTGAGACGTCAGCCGGCTCTGATCGTGACAGCAAAACCAGCCGCGGGGATCAGAGCCCCCCAGCTGATGTCCCCAAGCCCCCCTTTCAGCAGCCGCTCGTGTTCCCCCAGCCCAAGTCACGCCGCAGGATGAGGTTAGGCGGTGCTGAGGTGGATCCGGGCTTCCCCGTCGGTCCGCCACACCTGCAAACGGCCTTGCTGGGAAAAGTAGACCTGCTTGTTCCTAGGCGGCATCTCTTGCATGCCCCGGTCATGAGGGCCGGAAGTTTACAGGGGGAAAAGCAGGAAGGTCTATTTTCAGACGTCTTACAGAGGCCCTTGCTGCGCGCGCAGCATAAACGTACACCTGTCCGCTTGGCACTGGGCAGGCAATGTAGGCAGGTGCGGTTGGAAGAAGAGCACATCCTGAGGATGCGCCCGGGTTGCCCTAGTACGATCAGGGACTGTGCGCAGTTGCTGGAGCGCATGCACACCTGCCCGACTTGCATTTCCGGGAACTCTGCGGCCGGGGTGGGTGTCTGCGGTGCATGCCGACGGTGCCACGGGTTCCTGTTTTGGCCGCGACTGTTCCGCGGCACAAGCGAAGGACTCTTCCTTTCTGTGAAAGGCCCTTGCCGTCGGCACGGGTGCACGCAAGCGACGGAGCACCTGCCTGCCCAACGTCCCCAGCTTTGCTCGGTTAACGGAGAAAGATTTCTGTGCAGCTTCTGAGGTACCGTTCAAAGAGAGGGCAATAAAAGTCACCGTTTACACTACGGGCCTTTCTGGTCTTTATTTGGAAATGCGCCCTGACTCTCGCTGCTCCGGGGCAGCTTATTCACTGGAGGCACTGGAATACCACGGATGCCGCATCTGGCCAGACCTGGGGGCAAAACAGGGCGGAAACTGCATGAGCCGCAACGGGCAGCCGCGGCCCTTCTGGGCGAGCGTCCAGGGCTGCTGCGGTTGGGCCGGACGGCCGGCACGTTTTGCTCTTTGCCGTCGGCCATTCCAGGCCCAGAAGAGCCGGATGTGAGCCGGGATATTGCCCAAGAGTTTGCCTCGCCTGTGAGTTCGGCGCTTGGCCCCCGGCAAGCTCCGGTTTCTGATCCTCAACCCTCATGCCAGTCTCTGATGGGAGGCTGAGAGCACTGCCCTGCCTGCACTACAGGGCTGTTGTTGGCCTTACTTGGGATGGAAAGCGCCCCGTCATTACAAAAATTGAAGCCGGGCCGTGATGGACTTTGCCAGTGCTGGGGATCCATCACCAGTCGGATGTGGGAGAGGGGTGAGAATCGCAGCCCAACCCTCCAGGGCTCCAGGTTGGGAATGATGCCTTACTTGGGGGGCGGCACTTCTGGGTCCGTGGGCACAGTTGGGCTTTGGGGAGAGATGCTGACGCTCTCACGAAATGGGTGCTCTGACCAGCAGCCTCTTGCGGCAGCCATCTTGCAAAGCAGCGTGTCCAGGTTCGGAGGTGTAGTCGGAGCTCCTGAACACAGGGCCACCCCTTGGAACTGTGCTGGACTATGATGCCCATTTCACAGGAATCAAGCAGATGAGGCTGCACAAGAAGCAGCTTAGCCCACACGCGTCGTCGGGATGGAAGGCGTGTCTCAAGGATCAAGCTGCACAGTGCAGAATCTCACCTTCCCAGTTAAGAATTGATAAACTGCCCCTAACTTTTTTTAAAAAACCACCTTGGGAGAAGCAAGGAAGCCCATGGGTGCCACGAGAAGGGTCTGGTGGCCCAGCGATGCCCACAGCCCCCAAGTTGGCGCCCCCAGGCCCTTCCCACTCATCAGGTTGGCATCACTGGGCAATCCCCAGGCTGACCCTGAGAGGCCCCTTGTGGGCACGTGTGTCCTGGCCTGCCAGCAAAAGTTCCCAGGGGCTGTAATTGCAAAGGGCCCATCAGAGCGTGATCGCCTAAGAACATACTCCAGGCCCCTGCTTGGAGCTTTCATTTTAAGAAGTCAAGTTTCTAGTCCTTTGTGTTGACAGGAGGAAAAGAATGCAGGCTGTGTTCCCTGTGACTCTGAACTCCGCTTCCACCTGCCTTGTGTGCCAATCAGAGCCAGCATGGGGTAGGTGTTAAGAGCACGGGACGGGGACTCCGGCGATCCGGGTTCGAGTCCCCGCTCAGCCGTGGGGCTCACTGGGTGACTTTGGGCCACTCACAGACTCTCAGCCCTCCTACCTCACAGGGTTGTTGTTGTGAGGATAAGATGGAGAGCAGGAAGAGAATGATGTAAGCTGCCCTGAGCTCTTTAAAAAGAAAAGAGGTGGGGTATAAATCTAATAAATAAGCATCAACACGTTTGAATATGGAAAGCTCATGAAATAGGAAAACTTTATCTTGGTTTATTCTTCGTGGATTTGGGTTGCTTCACGCCACGCTTTCCCAAACATGTCGGGAAGGCACCTGGGGCAGCTTGGAGCGTGCGGAGCCACGGTGAAGTCCTGCCGGCTCGGGCGCCATGCCAAAACCACCGCACTGCGCCTGGGAAAGGTTGCGGCACACGCTTCCCAGGAGATGGTGGAGCCCGAAACACAGAATGGCCCGAAATGCACTGTCCAGTCAGCTTCCCTCCACATCTGCCCTCCAGATGTCCTGGACTACCGCTCCCATGATCCTAGGTTATGGGAGTTGCAGTCCCCTCAACTCTCTCTTCTGCCAGGGATCACACAAGCGGGCCGACCATCTGAACAAGCTTTCCGGGGCGCCTGAGCATCCCCTGGGGCTGCCCGAATTTTTGGCACGTGTCCGTTGTTGAAGCTTTGCTCCCGTGCAGCTGCAGCCGCTTGAAGTGGCCGCACGTGGAGCCCCGCTGGGCCACCGTCCGGGGGCGACCTGCTGGCGAAGCGCAGCGGGTCCAAACCGGGGCATTGCCCCAAAGCCGCCGAGAGCTTCCCCAGCCGCCCTGCCTCTCCCGACAGGGGCAGCGACCCACAAAGGCTCTTTCCTTTTCATGGGTGGGCCACACGGCCACCCGGGGTGGGCCAGCGTGATGTGTGAATGCGCCCCTGCCGCCTGGGGATTCGCTTCAAAGCGTCTAGTCCCCACTCAGCCCTTGAGCTACCACGGTGGCTTGACGTGAGCCACAGACTCTCAGGCCAGCCTACCTCGCGGGGTTGTTGTGAGGCTGAGGAGGACAGTGTAATCTGTCCCGGGTTCCTTGCAAGAAGCGAAGCGGTGCGGTAAAAGTGAACGGCCCCGAGCACCTTTTCTCCAAAGTGGGCGACGGATGCGCGCAATCCACGGCAGAGGGCGCTGCGCACGCTTCCTGCTGGCCGCTTCCGAGAGCCCGGACGGGCGTCGGGGCGGCCTCGGTGCCTGCCGTGGCTCAGCCGGGCCGCCCATCCCGAGCGATGCGCCCCCCCCCCGGAGCAGCAGCCCCCCCTCACCCCCCGCCGGTGCCCTCGGAGGGGCCGCGCTCCGGCTGCGGGGGCCCCGGCGCGGGCACGGATGCTGCGCGCACGCAGCTCCCGGGATCCAGCGCCTGCTGCCACCTTGCGGCCAGATGTGCGCAGCGCATCCAAGGGGGCCCGCAGGAAAGCTGCAACGAGGGGCGAACCTGCCCGGACAGCCTTGGAGTACAACTCCTATCATCCCCGAGCATGCTGGCAGGGGCGGATGACAGCTGAGATCCATCGACGTCTGGACAGCATAAGGTGACGCGAATCAGAAGAACAAAGGTGCTTGAGAGGAGAGAGGTGACTGGGAGTGAAGGTGGTATTTATTTAGTTCTTGACTTGCCTCCCTGCGTATCCATTTTAATTATTATATTTATATCCCAGCTTTTTTCCTTTCAGGCAACTCAAGGTGGCTTACACACATCTCCCCCCTCAATCTTATCCTCACAACAACCCTGTGAGATAGGCCAGGCTAAGAGCGAGTGAATGGCCCAAAGTCACCCGGTGGGACTAGAACTCAGGTCTCCCGAGTCACGGTCCAGTGCTCTAACCATTAGACCATCCTGCCTCTCTGATATAATAGCTGTTTTCACCTTCATCATCCTGAAAGAGGCATGTGCATCTGCAAAAGATACAGCTACACTGGCCATAAAAAAGCCAGGACTGGCACATCCAGCTGCTGGTTCTGGATCCTGGGCCAGGTGAGTGGCATCTACAGCACAGTGGCCATCATCCCCAGCAGGCTGGCCATGATGGGCGCTGTGGGCCCTTCCACACTCGCACAACTGCGCTCCTGGAAGAAATTCTAAAAGAAATCTCAGTTTGTGCACATGCTTTTTGCAGGATTTCTATTTGCAAAAATGTGTTTTCAGATGCTTGCCAGAC